GCTGAGGCAACTAACCCAACAGCATAACACTGTTTTTTTTTCTTTTTCTTTTCCACATAGCGATGGTGAATCATGAAGTCAGAACAGCAAGGAACTGGTTAAAGGGAAGCAGCACACAAGCTAATGATCCCCCAGATATTGGATGAACTGGATTTAAATGTAATTAATCTCAAAAGGCCAGAGAAGCAAATGCTTTTGTTGTGTCCTGATACATACAGATTTCAGAAAGGAAACTTCACCAAGGGGAAGAAAAAGAAGTTAAAACACTATAGTATGATTTAAATTCCTTCTGCAAAGAGATTCATCATAAATCAAGAGAAGCCCCTCCCCCCAAAAAACCCAAACACCGCGACCACACCACCTCTCAAAATAATCCAGGTTTTTGCTTAGTTCCTCGGTTGTGTATCATCAGAACCACTTCTGTTCCAAGTTTGGTGGGTTTCTCTGTATTTTTTGTGCTCATGCCTATACCATGTTTGTTTTTCAATGTGCTTTTTGGTACCAGTGCACTGATTTGCACAGGACTTCTGCTAGGGAGGTACCAGGCTAGGACAGCCAGACCAGCTCTGAGGACAGTCAGAGCAGCTGAAAAGCCTCTCAAATGATTCAACAGAAGCAACTGCAGCCTGGTGAGGGCATGGTCTTTGTAGCGTGCTTTTTGGGTTTCAAATTAAAAGCATTGTAGAAGTGAAAAATGTTATTTCAAGATTGCCTTTCATTTCATTATCTCCACAGATTAGTACACTGGGCTAGCTCTCACTATTTAACCCTCCTCCCTTGGGCAGGGAGGTGCTGTTCTCTAACAACCACCTACTTCAGGAACAGTCAACTTGAAAACATTTCTTTTTTAAAAATCAGAGGTTGAAAAATTAAGCAATTCAGTACTCACACCAAACACAAATGTTTAAACAGGTACGTGTTAACATGTAACTACTTGATCAAGGTTTTCAGATGTTAATAAGATTTCTGCTTCTGTTTTTTAATATTGAGCTTGGAATATCTGAAACACATTGACTTCTAAATGTGCCTGGTCACCTTTAATTACACTGAAAAAAACCCCACAGACTCCTGAGATACCTCAAGGTGGGAATATAAATATTGTAATCATGTCCATTGATTTTAGGTGGCGTGTCTCTTACGAATGTAGTTTGAATGTGTAACACACATGAAAGTGGATCCTTGTCTGTACAAGGCTTCCCCA